ATGTCCACTATCCATCTCCAGAACTCTTTTCATCTGCAAAACTCAGATTTTATATCCATTAAACAACAAGTCCCCATTCCCTCTTACCCTCTTACCCCCTTACCCCTGGCAACCACCATTCTTTGTGGCTCTGTGAATTTGACTATGCTGGGTGCCTCATGTAAGTAAAATCGATAATATTTGTCTTTTTGTGACTGGCTTTTTTTTTTAATTAAGGTATTATTGATATACACTCTTACGAATGTTTCACATGAAAAACAATGTGGTTACTATATGCACCCCCATATCCCATTGCAGTCACTGTCCATCAGTGTAGTAAAATGCCACAGAGTAACTATTTGCCTTCTCTGTGCTACACTGTCTTCCCCGTGACCCCCCCACACCATGTGTACTAAACATGAGATCCCTCAATCCCCTCCTCCCTCCCTCCCACCCCCTCTCCCCCACCCCTCCCCTTTGGTAACTGCTAGTCCCTTCTTGGAGTCTGTGAGTCTGCTGCTGTTTTGTTCCTTCAGTTTTGCTTTGTTGTTATACTCCACAAATGAGAGAAATCATTCGGCACTTGTCTTTCTCTGCCTGGCTTATTTCACTGAGCATAATATCCTCCAGCTCCATCCATGTTGTTGCAAATGGTAGGATTTGTTTCTTTCTTATGGCTGAATAGTATTCCATTATGTGTATGTACCACATTTTCTTTATCCATTCATCTACTAATGGACACTTAGATGACTTCCATATCTGGGCTATTGTAAAGAGTGCTGCAATAAACACAGGGGTGCATTTGTCTTTTTGAATCTGAGAAATTGTTTCTTTGGGTAAATTCACAGGAGTGGGATTCCTGGATCAAATGGTATTTCTATGTTTAGTTTTTTGAGGAACCTCCATACTGCTTTCAACAATGGTTGAACTAGCTTACCTTCCCACCAGCAGGGTAGGAGGGTTCCCCTTTCTCTGCATCCTAGCTAGCATTTGTTGTTCTTAGTCTTTTCGATGCTGGCCATACTAACTGGTATGAGGTGGTATCTCATTGTGGTTTTAATTTGCATTTCCCTGATGATTAGTGATGTGGAGTATCTTTTCATGTGTCTGTTGGCCATCTGAATTTCTTCTTTGGAAAATTGTCTCTTCATGTCCTCCACCCATTTTTTAATCGGGTTATTTGCTTTTTGGGTGTTGAGGTGTGTGAGTTCTTTATATATTTTGGATGTTAACCTCTTGTCAGATATGTCATTTACAAATATATTCTCCCATACTGTAGGATACCTTTTGTTCTGCTGATGGTGTCCTTTGCTGTACAGAAGCTTTTTAGTTTGATGCAGTCCTATGTGTTCATTTTTGCTTTTGTTTCCCTTGCTGAAGGAGATGCATTCAGGAAGAAGTTGTTCATGTTTGTATTCAGGAGATTTTTGCCTGTGTTGTCTTCTAAGAGTTTTATGGTTTCATGACTTACATTCAGCTCTTTGATCCATTTCGAGTGTACTTTTGTGTATGGGGATAAACAATAATCCAGTTTCATTCTCTTGCATGTAGCTGTGTAACTGGCTTATTTCATTTAACATAATATCCTCCAAGTTCATCCATGTTGTAGCATCTATTTCCTTATTCTTTAAGGCTGAATAATATTCCATTGAACATATACATCACATCTTGTTTTTCTATTCATCCTTTGATGGACACTTGGGTTGCTTCTCCCTTGTGGCTGCTGTGTATAGCGCTGCTGCAAACACAGGTAGACAACTTGCTGAGAGCCTGCTTTCAGTTCTTTTGGCTGTATACCCAGAAGGAGAATTGCTGGATCATACTGTTTCTAGCTCTTCCTCTGTTCTGCTGTTCTCCAGGCCCTGTCTCTCTCTCAGAACCTTTTCCTTGTAGAGATTTAAGTTTTAAAAGTCTCACCCATTTCTTTCTTTAATAACATAGTAACCCTTAAGAGGATTGTTAAGAGAATATTAGTGATTATTGAATTTCCTGGCTCAATCCTTGCTATTGCAGAGTGTCATTATTCTCTTAGGAATTACAGTAGAGTGGACATAATTGAATCTCTCTGATAATTCAGGATCTTGTGATACTTCAGGGCTATCATTGTGAGCATGGATTCATAACATATTTTACTGCAAGGTAGAAGTTGGGGATTGGAGCAAAGTACTAAACTGGACTCTACAAAATTAATTCTTGATATGAGTTTGTTCATTATTGATGTTTTTAGCAAACCAAACCATATAATATGACATACTAACTAATTGATATTTGAAAGATGTTTACCAAACTTTGCTTTTCCTCTAGCTATCTTTACTATTGCTTTTCTGTGCTGCTTTCCTCTTTGCATTTGTGTCTCCATATCACCAGGTCACAGGCTGTCACCCTAGCTCTGAGTAAGAGTATTTAATAGGTATAACTTGTAGAAGGAAATGAATCTGGGCAACAGTTACTCATTTTCCTCTTCTGGCTGCATTTCTCTTTTACTACACTTCAAGGAAGAGGAATAGAGCTTTGAAGGAGAGAGGAATAGAGAGAGAAAGAGGTAGAAGAATGGGGAACAAGAGAAAAAGCAAAGAAATTTTGAAGAGGTGAGGTAGAAAGGAGGAGAAAGAAGCAGAGGGTGGGTGGTATGGGTCAAGTGAGGGTAGGAGAGAGTGCTTAGGGAAGTTCCAAAGGCAGCTTCCCAGATTCCATCTCTGGCCTAAATAAAGCCTTGGTCCCTCTGAGTGTGAGGAAGAGCTTCTGGGAACCTCCTATGGCTGTGACAAATGGAGAACTGACCCAGAGGCCACCTGCGCGTGCCTGACCATATCAGCGTTCTGCAGCAAGCACTTCTTGAGGGCTTGCCATCCAGCCTCCTGGCTCAGCCACCACCAGTCTACCAGCCAAGAATGGGAAAGGCCAAACCTTCATTCCGAGTGTTTTAGACACTTGGTGAACAGAAGGGAGTAACCCCCCAAATTCTCCAAAGTCTCTTCTCTGTCTCTGGCCAGACATGTCTTTCTCTAATCCTGGGGTTGGTGGGTTGGAGGAGAGGCTCGGCGGTCAGCCTCCTTGCCCCTTCAGCTGACAACGCTGGTGACGTGGCGCACAGAAGACCTACCATTCTCAGTGGCTTTCCTCATTTGAATTTTGCCTGACAAGCGCTATTACTGTGCTCTGTTACTGGTAACAGAGAACTGCAGACACCTGGCATATTTTAACACAGTCCCTTTGGCAGGTGTGGCCTGTTTGGCTTGTGTTTTCACCTGACCATAGGGTCTGCATGTTACGTGTCCAGGCTTGGAGGCAGACCTGGGCACATGAGGCTTAACAATTTTACATGTACCTTTTCCATGTGTTACTCCAGAAAGGTGAATATACTTTGAGTAATTTAGTTACAAGGTAATTGTGATGTCTAAGCCTATTTTTTTGTATAGGAATCAAGAAATAAAAGTGAAAAATGCAGGCATGATTGATCTTAATAGATTACTGATGGTGGACTGTTTGTGGTCTAGTTTGCTGCTCACATTTCTGATCTGAAATTGCTTCCATGCCTTAGTAAACTTACTAAAAATCTTAAAAAATCTAATTACAAATATGACTCCTGTCTCAGAATTTTCAGTCTAAGAAATAAAGGTGCCATGCCCAATGAGTGATTGGCCTGCAAGGAAATGCTCACAAGGATGTCATGTATCAGTGATTCTCAGCCGCAGCGCTTTTGCCCTTCCACGGCTGTGACAGTGTCTGTAGACATTTTGTCATGGCTACAGAGGAGGTGCTGCTGGCATCTAGTGAGGCCAGGAATGCTGCTCACCGGCCTGCAGTGCACAGGACAGCCCCTGCAACAAAATTATCTGGCCCCAAATGGCAATAGCGCTGAGGTTAAAAAGCCCTGTCATAAATATGTGCAGGAGATACGGTATAGACTGGTTGACAAATCAACCACATTAGGAAAAACCTAAGATGCTTCACAATTGTGCTCCTGTCTCTGAGTTTTTCAGGGTTTTTTTCTTCCAGATTTCTATTTGGAATCATTGTAGGCTTACTGACTGGGTAATTTTCATCTCTAGCTACTTAGCACCTGGCATATGAGAGGCTTTGCTTAATGTTGAGTGAAGTAAAAGAGAATAGGAAAGAGATGCATCAGGAATGGATCCATTTTGGTTTCACTTCCATGTAAACTATGTGAAACAGTTGAGGGCCTAGAGCAGCAGGGAAGGTCTGGAAATGAGCTTCTTGGTTTCCCAGAAACATCATAGGTCACCCTGGGCAATTACCTGGGTCTTTTCTTCTGCTCGGCTTAGGTTGCATTGTGCCCATCCAGAACATCTACTTAGGCCACTGATGAACTTTGGTCTTGAAAGAGATAATTTCACACCCTATACCTTAATACAGCCATTGAAGGTAACCAGGACAATCCTGTAGGCCATTATTTACTAAATATGTGAGTATATGTACATTCTGATTAAAACTTAGAAACCTAAAATGTGAAGGCCTTTTAATCCTGATAATAAATAGGTATGTATTCCTCCAATTTGTAAATGTATATAATAGCATATTAAATATGAAATGGAATAACTTTATAGTATATTATACTATTTTACAATGTGTTTTTACCATACTGTATTGTGGAAGTTATTTATTCTAGTGTGAGGGGCAAATCATTTCAAGTGGTATGTAAATTAAGGATCATAGTATCCACCCACCTACTTCAGAGGCATTAGATTCAAATTTAAGATTTGTAATGTGTGTTGAGTTTCTCAGATGGAAATACTATGACGTTACATACCATATTCTATTTTTAATTGATTATAACGGTGTTGAATGATTGAATAATTCTATTACTAGTTTCTTTTGAGATGCTACTGAAATATTTTTTAAAATATTCTGAATGCGCCAGCCATTATTGGTCCATGTGTCGAAAGGTGAAAGGATTAAAAAAAAAATTCTGAATCCTCAGAAGGAAACCATGATGGCTCCGTAAGTGTCATTTCTGTAATACTCTTAGATTTCAACTACCTTTTTTGTGTTCCCCACAGGCAAATATGTGTATCAGCCTATGACCCCTGTGGAACAGCTTCCAAGCACTGAGATTCCTGCAAAGCCTCGGGAACCCACAAACACCATTCAGATCTCAGTGTCACTCACTGAACACTTTTTGAAATTTGCATCTGTCTTCCAGCCTCCCCTCCCCCCTGATTCGCCAAGGTACTGTATGATCTCAGACCTCTTCATCGACAACTATCAGGTTAAATGTATTAATGGGAAGATGTGTTATGTGCAGAAGCAGCCAGCGCCACATTCCCACAAAATGAGGCCTGAGGAGGTCTCTGCACACGATGCCTTAATTTCAAAAGAGAGCAATACACCAAAAATAGATCACTGCTCTTCTCCCTCAAGTTCTGAGGACTCTGGGATCAATGCGATTGGGGCTCACTATGTGGAATCATGTGATGAGGACACAGAAGAAGGAGCGGAACTGAGTTCAGAAGAAGATTACAGCCCAGAGAGCAGCTGGGAGCCAGACGAGTGCACCCTTCTCTCCCCTTCCCAGTCTGATCTGGAAGTGATTGAAACAATAGAAACCACCGTGTGAGAGCCCGAGCAGGAGGCCGAGACCTCTGATCGATGCGGGGCTTTTGTACTTTCGTCTGAGGGATGCTTTTCCAGTGCAGTTGGTATTTTCTACCCCTCTCTAGCAACCATAGCAGTTCAGTGGTCTGCTGATTAGCTTCACTCTGAAATTAGTCTTAACTAAGAAATTCTTTTTCTTAGTTTTTTTTTTTTGTATCTTGACTTATTTTCTATGTAGCATCTGGTGTCATAAATTGTGACCCAGCCTTAATTTCCTTGGCAACTTTGAAAGTGATGAAGCAATGATTGCGGAGTGCCACGGATGGTTGAGGAGCTACCTAGAGTGAAGGAGACAATGTTTCCTAAATAGCTGGTTCATTGAAGAAAAACGCCTGACATTCCTTTCTGACATGCTGACAGGCACCCTTGTCCTGCCAGCCCCTCCCCCGTCGGCATCGGCTCCCTTGTGAGGAGGGGAGTGTGCCCTAGTAGAGGCCATTCTGCCCCCTTTCCCTTCCGCCCACCTCCTGCACAGGTCTGGGCCAGTGTTGCTTCAGCTCACTTCTGGGTTACTGGAGGTCAGCTCAGCCCCCAGTTATGGCCAGCGGCCTGCATGGCTCCATGACCTGAGGCTGAGCTAGATCTTCATTTACGAAGACATGACCTCTTCAGTTTCACGCTCAATCTAGCTTTAGCTGAGCCCCTACACTCTGTAGGATGGGGATACAGGATGAATAAGACCTGACTCCCAGCATGAAGGGGCCCACAGTCCAATAGGGGAGATGACTTATGTAGGTAATGGTACCCAGAATGCTCTGTGAACCCCGGGGAAGGAGAGATGCACTTGTAGCTGGGGAACACATTACAGCATTTGGGCTGGCCTCTTGGGTGGGTCCCCTGGCATTTCTCTGCTTTTCTTAATTGTTCTTCAGTCTGGGGTAGACTTTTAGGAAGTTATATAGGTATTAGATTTAGGAGGCAGCCACATCTGACATCCTAAAAAAATAAAAGTAGTTTTAGTTAGCATGGAAATGCTAAAGACAGCAGTCCTTTAGGGATTAGGAATGAATCTAATAGGTTTGATTAATTCTGCTTCATTTGGTTGTATGAAGCATTAGAATGGCTTAGGTGAGAAATGGATTAGAATTCAGTATGATGCATGGATTTTTTTATGCAAATGCAAAAGCAGTTGGAATAGTTCACTGCTAAGTCAGGAGAAATATTTTGCAGAATACTTACTTTTACTACAGTAATATTCATGGTCTGTTGTACATGTTCTCTTTTCTCACACAGAATAGTGAATAACTCTTATTTAGCTCTCTTCAGAATCCTACTCCTAATCCCCATTTATACCAGGTGTTTTTGTGTGAGGTGGTTGTCTGCCATTTCTCTAAATCTGCTCTCTGTGTGGCATAGTTAAGGATCCAGGAAATTTCAAATATGGCCTAATGAAACGAGAACTATCAATGTTGGAAACAGAGAAATACTTCTTATGTCCTAACCCTCCATGAGCCTGCTCTCAGGGTATCTCATGCTCTGTCAGCATTAAGGCACATTACTTCTGTGTCACATTCATTTGTATTTTAAGAAGTGAGAGGCCTGTTGTTTTTTTCCCTGAATCCTCCATTTGGTATCCTTCACAAATCACCAGGCAGAATCTGCTTTTCTAGTTGTATATGTATGTAGTCCAAGTGATGGGCTACAACACTTTGTTAGGTTTTAGGTGCCCAAGACACCTGGAGAGTTTAGAAAGCAGAGTATGCATATTCCTTTGAAAATGGTATTAGTTAAATTTTTCTATGCTAGATGAGACTGCAGCGTAAAGTTCCCACTTACTGAAACGTAAAGGCTCAACACGTTAAAACCAATAAGGTGGAAGGAGGATCTGTAGGAACAGCAGGGCCCAGGAGAGGGCATGCAGAAGTTGGGAGCGGGTGCGAGGCGGTGTGGGAAGAAGCTGCCCAGGCCTGGCCTAGGCCCCGCGGTTTAGGGACAGACATCCGATGAGCTGTCTGAGGCTGTCAGCGCCTCCCATGACCAAGTGCCCAGCTGAAGGCAAGTTCAGAAGCTGAACCATGAGCCGTGAAGTCAGCCAGTGTGAACTCGGGCTGTAACAGCAACAGCAGGGCCCTGTCTGCATCTGCCAGGGGCGAGGTCATGGAATCCCTTGGGTGGGCTTTAGGGGGGGCCTTCTTCCTCTACAGCACTTCTCTCCACTTGGGCCCACGTTCCCATCCATCAAGCCAATCGGAGCCAACCACCAGGTCTCCAAAGGCATGGAAACAAATGGTCACAGGGCCATGTTTCCGGAGCTGGCTGTGTCAGGGCTGGGCCCTTTATCAGTAATATCTACAACTTTTGCCTAGGTTCCTATTTTTTAAACTCCTGTACTGCCATTCAGATTAGCCACGATTTTAATGAAATTTTTGGATTTAATAATGGTTGATAATCACTTTAAATTTTTGCACAATCTCTTTATAACCAACAACTCACTAAGCTTCATTTACTACTATTTTATAGAATTGGAGATGTTCCATTGGATTCTAACTGTCAGATGCTCCTGGATCTCAAAATAGCCTTTTCTAAACAAGCACAAGCTAGAATTTCTTTGTCCTAGCACTGTTAATAATTCTCTGAAAATCATGTATGATTGAACCAGAATTGTTTCTTTATGCCTGCATTGCAAAAGAACTGATAAGGATATAAAAATGTGCAGTTTCAACATAAATCCTAGGTCTATTCTGTTCGATATTATATAAAATTTCTCTGTAACCCTGATATTATATCGCTCATTTGTATAAGCATAGGTATAGGCACTTTAGAAAATGTTTAGACTGCAACATGTATTGTGGACTATGTTAACTACCCTTTTGGTTAATACTTGTACACTGAGAGATTGGAAAGCTTTATAATTTGGACCTGGTAGTGTGCTCACTTGGAGCAAAGGGTTGGGCTGTGTGGATGGAGAAACTGTCTTGGGTTTTTGTGGAAACATGGCACCATTCCCATTTTTGAAAGTTGGTGTTAAAGCTATTAGAAGATAGAAAATAAGTACTGTGTGGAATTTAGCTTTCTTATTGGAAGATTTATTTTGGAATTTTCAAGTTTCATATATGCTCATAACTTTTCTGAGAAATGGCAAAGCAATTAAAATGCCCTTATGGTTATGACTATTTGGTACATTAATAAATAAGGCTTTACAATCAAATCTAGGTATTTTGTACCTTGTAATTTTCAAGATTTGAAATGAGAATTTGAGGAAAACTCCAAAGGAAAACAGTTGCTTTCCTGGAAAAAGAAGACTTGTTCTTCAAGGTAATAAAATATAAATTAAAACCACAAAAACCAGGACAGAACCCTGAAGTTCTTGCTCTGAAGTACCTTTTAGATTTGATCTAGGATTTAATTCTATCCTGGGGGTGGTTTTATTTCTTAACCTCTACTTCCTGGTCTATTTGAAACATCACAGTTCTTTTCTGATTGAGCATAACAAACTCCTTTTAAATAAATTTCTCTATTTGGGTAATTTAGAAATCTGCCAAAATACTGAGATATGTTTGGCAGTATAAATACTACGCAAGAAAAAAAGCACAAGTTAAAATAATATTTATAGTCAGCTCTTGATTATGCCATCTCATTTGCAAAATTTTATTAACATATTTTGGCTTTTTACATGAGGAGAATACAAAATTGTAACAATTTTCTTTCCTGTTCCCCTCTCCAGAGGAGGTGTGAGCCAGAATTAAGGAGGCCTTTCGGCTTTTCAGTAAGTAGTATGTGATTGTGTCTCTTCCCACTGAGGAGGGGGGAAAAGGAGGACGTCTGCACGTCCCTTCAGGGCTGTGACTCCAGAGATGTCCGTATTTCTCGCATCCAAACTAAGGACAAGAGCACGTCTCAAAATTAAATTTTGTAATTGTCTACTTTTAAAAACTAAAAAAAGTCACTGTTCCCGTCATCATTAAGGATAATTGATAGTTGTATTAGGAAAGGGCCATGTTTCTGTTAGTGCTTTGAGTGCTTTCTTCCATTAATGTGGGAGCGGTGCCCTTTTATAGTCTGAACAACTCTGAAAGCAAATCATTGCTAGAGGTTTTAATATGGAGCTTTCATACCATTGTGTCCATATACACTTTTTAAGGCTGTGCATACCTTGCAATATTCATTTACTGTGCTGTTTTTTAAACCTTTGTTTTAAAGTTTTAAGTGCAATGTTGATCCTTCTGTAATTTCCTAAAAATTATATTGTTTTCCTACAGACAGTTCAACTTTCCTTTTATGTATAATACTTAGGGAAATACTACCTTATAAAATAAATGTGAATTTTTTTTTTCATTTTTTTTACCAGCACAAATCTGATATTTTGGAGTTTGGAACATTCTTTCCCTTCTCTCCCCTCCTTGGAGAGGTTCTGATTCAAATAACAATAGTGTAAACTAAACAAAACCCACATTTATAACATGTGAAAAATTTATGTTGAGTGCTTACTTTGTGCAAGCAAATAAGCAGTTTATATCATTATCCTATTTAAACTTTTCAAAAACCTTATGAAGTATCAGGCAAATATTACTATCCATAACATGCATTCATGGTCACTGCTCATAACTCCCAAAACCTTTTGTAATAAGAACATTTTTGTTGCTACATTAGGTTTATACAAATAAACCCTACCTTCCCCACAAACAGTATTTATGTCATGTGAAGTCATTGTGTTCAGTTCCTATGTGTCCTGACAGACGGTTGTTAGCAGCTGGTCCTCAGGGGTGCCGACACCCGGTCACCAAGGCTTGGGTCCAAACCTCAGCGAGGCAGATCTGGGAGCTCAATTTTTTAATTCAGCACACTCAGAAAGAAGAGTTTCTTTTTGGGTTGGCTTTTATTGAATGACCTTACTCTAGGGACTGATTAATAAATTCATTTATTGGTTAATAATATCATGGTTAATATTAATTATAGCTCAACAGCTACCTAACTGCTTTCTATGGTAATCTTCCCAGCATCCTGCAAGGAAGATTTTAGCATCCCAATTTCACAAACCAGGAGAAGAGCCCCAGAAGGAAAACCCTTTGCCCAGAGTGGCACAGCTTCTAAGTAGTGAGAGTCAGGATTGGAACCCAATCAAGAGCTTGCACGCCTGGCCCTTTGCCTGCCTCGCCCACTCTTGCAGCCTCCGTCTTACTCTCAGGGTACCTGGAAGCTGAGTCAGGAGGCTACTGAGTGAGCCTGGGAGAGAGCAAAGGGTGTTCCCTTCTCATCCCTAACACAGAGAACGCCTTCCCACAGGCTCCTTCCTCACCCAGTGTAGCTTCACTTCAGGTGGTGGAGAAACAACAAAAGGCTTTCTTCCTCTCTCCCCCTTTTCTGTGATCGACACAGACCTCCCCCAACATGTAGACACATACACACACTCTTTCTGCAAGTATCTCAGTGCTTTGATGAGGCCATTACTTATTCCATGTTTAGTCATACCTTGACTAGCATTCTAGGCTAGCTCTTTCTGCCTTCACAAAAGCTAACTTGTTTTTTTAAAGTGACTTCTGCAAGCAGCTAATCTCATATGTGTGTGCATTCTACTAATTTAAGGCTACCTAATTGTATTGCCAACTTCTAGAAGGCATTTCATTGTAGCCTCTTAACAAAGGCTGACTGCATACACTTTTACTCGCAATAAACTTTAATTTAGCATCTTATCCTCATTACAATTCAATCACTGGGAACTGGGGATGCCTTCAAGCTTTAGTGTGCCACCCCAGTTCTGTGCTGAATGAAGGGGGTAAGACAGGACCTCAGGGCCCAAGCTCACAGCAATAGGATTAAAGAAGGGGCAATTTAAGGTCAGAAGGAATTCTTCAGGAACCAGACAGATCCTGGAATTTGACGGAAATACAACTGAAAAGCAAGGCGAAGTCAATAATACGCCACAGTATCATTGATGGTTTTCTGTTTCCTTTTTCAAACATTCCTAGACTTTTCAGATGAACTGATACTGCTTTATAATCGTAAACCCAGCAAGTTATTTTGAAGATGAGGCCTCAGACGGGGAGTGAAGGTGGAGCCTGACTTTGCTGGGTACGTGTGATAGAAGTGGAAAGCCCGTGAGTTTGGTCAGTGGCTCACCAGCTCATGTGCCTCCTGGACAAGACCTAAGCCTGGGTGGGCTGGGGACTGTGTGTCCTGGAACCCTGGCCACTGCTGAGGGGTGACCCCCTCTCAGCTTCCAACCATGGCTGGAAAGTCCGTGTGCCAGAGGGTTGAAGAAAGGGGAGAGGATTTGTTTTGTATGGTCTCAGTCCCCAGCCCAAAGCTGTGTGTGTGAATTTGGAGATGGGACATCAGAAAAATTGGGCTCTGGTAGGACATCTTAGCCCTAGCCTTTTACCTGGTATAAAATCCCAGATGACTTATCCTGAGAGATTGGAAGCATCACTGCAAGGTGAAGACAGCACCATAGATCAGAGAAGCACCATGTCTGCGTGGGGGCTTACCAAGCATTTCCCCAGAAGTCAGCTTATCTGCTGTACTCAGCAACTCTAAACGGTAGGTGGGGCACTCATAGTTCTGTGAGGATGTGGCTGAAGCCCCCAAGCGCTAAGCAGGCCAGTCAGTCTTGCACAGCAGGTAAGTAATAGGCCTGGGCAGCAAGCTTCTGTTGAGTCCAACTCCAGCTGCTGTTCCTTCCTCACTGTTGAGCCTGTGCAGTCAGACCCTGCCCTGCTCCTGTTTAGGTCTGCTCCCTCTGCTCTACCTCACGCGTCTGTCTCTTCCCCACAATGAAGGTCCCGAGGCTGTCCCTGAGACCAGCCCTGGCATGAGGTGGAGGCACTGAGGAGCCACACTCAGGACTGTGGGTGTCGCTTGATGTTGCCCTGTGGCCAAGTTGCTCTGGCTTTGTGCCTGTTTGGCTTAATCAGGACTGGGTCTGGCCTGGGACCCAGATGCTGCCTTGTGCTCAGGTGTGGCCCTGAATCTAAGGACTCTCTTGGGAATTGGCCTCAGCTCATAGCACTTTTGGTATTAAAAAGCGTGTGCCATCTCCTAGTCCTGGAGTGGGGCCTTTGATACCAACTGCTTCCTTCAACTATTGAGTGTCCTCAGTCATCATGGACTTACCTCCTGGGGCCATTCTACTCAAGGGGATTGTATAGACCCTGAATGTGATAACCCAGCCATGAATATCTGATATCTGCCTTAACCAGGTGCAGTAGACAAAGGACTGAATTTCAGCCCCCATTTTAGGAATCTGCCTATAAGAACTGTGGCACCAAAATTCACAAAGAAAAATGTAGGCATACCCATTTATCTGCAGGACCTGGAAAAACCATCACAGCCTTTCCACAGTTGCCACTCTAAGAGGACACACAGACCAGGAGACCTTGGGAAGCCTTGGATGGGAGGACTGCACTGTGTCTGGAGGCCTGCATGGGACTGGCACAGAGATCCACAAAGCCTGTTTAACCTGGGAATCTAGAATAAGGAGAGGTGACTCTAACATGACTTAGGGGCTGCACTGAGTATATGGGGAGGATATTAGGGACTTTTGGGTTTCCTAAGTAAACCAAGGCCTTAGATGAATGTAGGGTCCACAGTGAGTGTTTCTTGCCAGTTCATCTAGAGGTCAGTGTAAGGTAAGTGGGTCCAACTAGAATTCACTGGGGTCCTTTCAAATTACTGGGGGTCCAAAGTTCTGCCCCCAAAAAACTTATTCTCACCCAATAACATATCCATGAGTTATAGCCAAGCCGTAAATTCCTGGAGCTGTAATATGTTCCCTGAATCAAATGAAATCACCTTGGCCCCAAGTTATGCCTGATACAGCTGCTCAGAAAGGGAATAATGGGGCCAAGGAGAGGTCAGCAAATGGGAGGGTGAAAGGAGGAAGTTAATTGGAAATCACCATCTCGTGTTGGGGTAAGGGTGACTTGTGTAGGTGTTGAAGGATAAGGAGCCAGCTCATTCTTGTAGAGAGGAGGTCAGGCTGGGCAGAATCATGAGGTCATTAAGTTTGTTAAGGCGGTTGGGACATGGCCCCCCAAGATTACTAGAACCAAATCTTGACCTTTGAGATGGATATAGTGCAGAGTTCTGGGAGGACAGATGTTAGGTAGGAACAAGAGCTACTTCTACTGGCTGCACTCAGTTATGGAAAGTGCCCTAGTGTGAAGTTGAGGCCCAGCAGATCCTGCCAGGGCCTGTGCATTAAAAGCCAACCTAGGGAAGAGACTGCAGGGGGCTGGTGTGTGCCATCTCCCATCTTACCTGTTCTATCACCACCCCTGAAGCTGCATTCATAACACACAGGTGGACGTATACTTAAAAAGGTGTCAATCATACCCTTTATCCTGCAATATCATTCCTAAGTTTATATCCACCAGAATTGCATACGTATGTTCAAAGACAGGAAGAAGGATGGTAACAGGCCAGTACTGGCAACAACCCACATGCCCATTAACAACAGAATGGGTAAATGGTGGTATATTTATACAATGCAATACCATTCAGCAATGAAAATAAATAACATGGATAAATCACAAACATAACTGGAGTGAAAGAAGCCACTTCCAAAAGAATACATAATGTACTTTATAGGAAGTTCAAAACAGGCAAAGCTCTCCATGCTGCTAGAAGTCAGGATAGTTTGGAGGGGGCATGATGAACAGAGACTTCAGGGGCCCCTGGAACGCTGGCCACTTCTTCTTTCTTGGTCTGGGTGCTGGTTATACAAGTGCGCTCAGTTTGTGAAGACAGCTGTATACATATGGTCTGTGAACCTTTCTGTCCACAGAAAGTTTACTTTAAAAAGATAGTGACTTTGAAGAAAAGATGGTGATACCTATTCTATGCGCTGTGATATAGAGGACATGGGAGCACCCTCAGGAGTGACGGGGACAGGAAAACACCCAGATGTGGAAAAAAGGGGAGTCAAACTGCCATTTTCCTTAGGGAGCTGGGAAAGCTTCATGGAGTGTAAGGGTGCGGGGAAGGCTGGTGGCAGGAAGGAGGGGCCTCTGGGGTGAACCTTCTGATGAGCCAGACGACCCTCTGGGATGGTGAGTGGGGCTCAGACTCTGGGCTGCCAGGAGGACAACACGGCAGGAGGCCTTTCCTATACCTCTGGGCAGAGCACACGCACCTGATTCCAGAGACACACTTTTGGAAAAACATTTTCAGCAGGCAGAGCTGAGTGGAAACATTCTGCTTCTAAAAGAATCCCCAAAGCTCTTAATTATTTATTCTCTAAAGCACTCATTATTAATGAGGCCCCTGATGGCTTTCCTCTTCTCTAAATACCCTCCCTCCCCCTCTATGGGAGGCTCTGGTTGGTAATGTTACCTTTGTGAAGCATCTTCCCACCTGTCACTTGGCAGGAGGGAAGGGCAAATGCAGAGTGAAGAGGGCAGAGAGTATCCGGCTGATGCTGGGGGCTGAGGATAACCATTTCTCAGGTGGGACACAAATACTGCCCATTCAAATATTTACTGTTTACCAGGTACAAAGGAGAAACAAAGCTGTGATGGACAACGCTGTGTCTCAGTCATCCAAATGTCACTCCCTCGTATCAGAGCCGTGGCTTCCTTCCAGAGGATGACCTCTTTCCTCCCCCAGGGGAGAGCACGGGAGGAGACCATTTGGACCAGGCTCCTGCTCTTCCCAAATGGCAGCTGAAGGCTCTCTGGAACCTCCCTCCCCCAGACACTTCCTCTCACCACATCCAAGGGGTGAGCATGTGACCTAGAAAAGCAGCTGGAGCTCAGCACTGGGGCTGGAGCAAGGTGCTCAGAGCTGCCTGCTGTAGCCTGCAACATGATCCAGGAGCCCCCCGTTCCCCTCCACGGGCTCCATGGCAAAGTCAGCAGAACCACTGCTGTTACTGAGTCTAGAAATATTTCCAGGTATGTCTTTGTCCTAAGAAACTGCTTTGAAGCAGGACCTGACATCACTGAGGAGTAGAATGTGTGCTGAATGCCATGAGAGGGCACAGGGACAATGGCTTCCAGATGGCAGGACTGGGGCTCAGCTCAGGCCTGCCACATCCCCAGTACCCAGTGCTGCTCAGCACTGGCAGGTTCTCGTCTACCCTTAGGTGAGATGAAACAGCTCTTCAAATCCAGTCCAGAGTATTTTCTTACGAAGGCATGGCCTTCCTAATATAAATATAAAGATGCTCTAACTTATTCAATGGTGCTGTGACTTGAATAACAAGTTAAAGAACTCTTGGTGACTGATAAAATAAGATGGGGGGCTAGAGAAGAGTGATTTGTTGTATACTGGCCCTGATTTAATGGTTGCTACTAACTTTGTTACGTATTTACCTCTTCCAGTGAGAGTTTTACATGTTTTCTTATTAGTGTCATTTCTTTTCAGCTTAAAGAAGCCCCTTTAACATTTCTTATAAATCTGGTTTGTGGTGAAGAACTCCTTAGCTTTTGCTTGTCTGGAAAGCTCTTAATCTCTTCTTCAGTTCTGAATGACAATCTTGCTGGGTAAAGAATACTTGGTTAGAAGTTTTCTCCTTTCAGCACTTTGGATAAGTCATGCCACTCCTGGTCTGTAAAGTTTCTGTTGAAAAAACCGGCTAAGAGCCTTATGGGGTTTCCCCTGTACATAATAAGTTGTTGCTCTTGCTGCTTTGAGGATTCTCTTTCCATCCTTAACTTTCACTATTTTAATTACAATATGTCTTGGTGTCAATCTCTGGATTTATCTTATTTGGAATTTATCCCTGTCTCAGATTAGGGAGTTTTCAGGCATGATTTCTTCAAATAATTGTTTCTTGTTTTTTGGTTTTTTTGGCCCTTTCTCTTCTCCAGGGATCCCTATAATGTTATTCTGCTTGATTTTGCTCCAAGAAAAGTATCTTCACTTTCCTTAATTTTTTTTTCATTTTGGGGCTCTGTCTGGGTGAGTCCCATTGCTGCGTCTTTCAATTCACTGATTTGTTCTATTTCATCCAGTCTGCGGTTGAACCCTAGTGTATTTTTCATTCTTATAACTTGTTTGGCATTTTCTTATACTTTCTGTCTCTGTTAAGTTCTCATTGTGTTCATCCATTCTTCTCCTGAATTCAGTGAGGCATCATATGACCATTACCTTGAACTCTTTATCAGGTAGATTGCTTATTTCCATTTTATTTCATTCTTTTTCTGAGGTTTTGTCCTGTTCTTTTGTTTGGAACACATTCTTCTGTCTCATTTTACCGAACTCTTTCTGTATATTAGGTACACAGTCTTGAAGGAGTGGCCTTATATAGATGTTCTGTGGGGCCCAGAAGAACAGTACACCCTGGTCACCAGAGCCAGGCCCTCAAGGAGTGTCCCCTGCATGAGCTGTGTGCCTTCCCATTGTGGCAGGGCTGTAGCTGTGGCATGTTGGCTGTTGGAGCTGGTGCTCACTATGGCTGTAGGATGCAGCTGCAGCTGCTATGGTATGTGGTGGGCAGGGCTAGCCCCTGGCTTGGCTCTGGGGCATGTCCATGACTGCCGCAGTGTGCTGGTAGGCAGGGCTTTCAGTAGGGTGTACCCACTAGTTCTAGCAGGGCAGGGGGAAAATTCCAAAATAGCACCTGCCAGCCCAGGTATAATAAGGTAGACTGAGTTTACAAAAATGGCTCCCAGCAGTGTCTCAGTTCCTGGGGAGATGTTCCTTACCTCTCTGGGAGACGCTTTAATGTTAGTAGATGTGTCTCCTTTACATGTGGTCTATGCACTTTTCAACTGGTGTTTTTGTGCTGGTTTTGAGTTGAGTGAGTCTGCATGTAAGCCATTTAAAAGAGTGGATTTTTCTGCTCCCTACAGTTTTATAGTTTACATGGATATAATCCCCATTGATTTTCAAAGCCCAGTGTTTTGGGGGCTTGTCTTTCCTATGGAGGATCTAAGGGTTGGGGTGCCTAATGTGACACTTGAATCCCTTGCTCTTCAGGGAACAGTTCCATACCCTTGAGATCCCTCCTGATTGTGATGTGCAATGGCTGGGATGTATTTTTTTTTAATAATCCCTAGTGAGTCCATGTTTCTTGGCCTTTCTTGCCCATCTTGATGCTGTTTTTTTATCCTTTATTGTGGAGGTTCTGTTCATTCAATTCTTCAGGTCCCTTTCAGAGGGAATTATTTGTAGACTTGTGTCCATGGGAAGAGGTGAGCTGAGGATCTTGCTACCCCACCATCTTGAACCCACCTCCACTCTGCTACTTTTCAAGTAGGTTGCTTTGGTTAAATTATTTATCATGCCTGAACCTCAGCTTCCTCATCCATAAAAATGGGGTTTAGACTGTCTTACATATTTGCAAAGAGCATCTGACTAGTGATCATTTAATGCTCAACTACTTCCCTCCATTTGACCTTCTCACATGTCTTGTCCAGCCACTTCTTGGAAGGAGTTATATAATAAAAGCTAAGCTAGCATTTTGGGGGCATTTTCCATGTGCATGCACAGTGCTAAATGTTTACATTTATTGTCTCATTTAGTTTTTTTAGTGGCTTTTACAAGAAATTGAAGCTCAGAGAAGTCAAGTAACTTGCTCAAGATCACAGCTAGTATGTGGCAGCAGTGGTATCTATTTTCTATTTAAAGTCACTATATTTGCGTCTAGTTCATGCATCTATTCCCTGTGGACTTGGTTAGTATATGTCAGTCTATAACAGTTGGATCATTCCTGAGTGAAAAGGAGCACCCCAGCCTGGGAGGTGGAAACCTAGTCTCTGCAGGTGGTGATCTCCTGTGCTTGCTGGTTCAATGATGTACAAAGTCCCAGGACCAAGAAATGTAAAAATACATGTCTGGAAATCTAGACCCTGTCATGGAAGCACTTGAATTGTCAGGCTGCTCCGGATGGAGCTGCTTATTTGAATAAAGGGAAGTTTGCCACATCAGGGTCCTTGATTTTGAGCCAATAAAACTGAATTGTGGCAACAAGGGTTCTAAATGTATATATGACTTGACACAGAAGCATTTATTTGTTAGAAAAGGGCAGTTGTAAACACTCAAATGGTTCTAACGCAAACCTACCAGAAGGGGGATGTCCCAGCCCCTGCAGGTCTTTGCTCCGTCCAGGGCAGGTTTCAGTTATACCACAGGCTGGCCGACCAGTTTCCAAGAGCAGCCTCAGAAGTTAAAGTCTCTCCATGTTATCCAACAGGCAAAGTGCATTTTCTTAAAAAGCTGGACAGAGGCATGTGGCATTCCTTTAACAAGCAAAACAAAATCAACAAGTCATTGAACTGGTGCTGTGGCAACACCAAAGAAGAGAGGGAGTCTCCCTTGAGATCAGTGGTATGGAGGCCACGAGGCACAGAAGCCAAAGCCTTTGCTCAGAAGGTGGGGGCAGTGAGGGCTCCTCCCTCCCCCCAGTTGCCCTGGCTTAGTCTCTGGTCTCTGGAGTCAGGGCCCAGAGCCATTTCAGTCCTCAGTCACAGGGGGTGGAATGAGCTGCAGCTGGAAGTTCTCATTCTGGAAGATGCTGTTGAAAGCAGGGCCACTCTGGGAGCCACTGAATGGCCGGTAGCTCTCGCTGCTGCGGTTCTGGGAGAGTTCCATCAGGAGAGCCAGCTGCAAAGGAGGGGTTAGACATCAGTCGGGCCTCGCTCATCTCATTCCACACTCTCCCTCTTGGTAAGCTGTCCTAGGGCTGAATGATCCTGAGTTAGGAACACTGCTCTGACCTCCTGCAACCTGGATAGCTCCAAATGGATGCCCAGGGCTCCAAGGGAAACTCAGAGACTCCACCCTCTCCTCTAAGAGTCCTCCTTGCTTCCTGTTTCCACCAATGGCACCAGGAACACTCTCACTCTGTTAGTGGCTCAGTTCTGGAGGACCTGCCAAGGACAGAGAATGGCAGGTGAATGGCAGCCCGGCTCTTAAGATGCCCTTGAAGGTCAGAGAGGAGAAGAATTCCACACCCAAGGTCCTTCACCTGGAGAGGGCAGCTGTGAGGGACGAGTCATCAGACATAGCAAGGCGATCCTGTCTGTGTAGGCTCCAGGCCAGAAGTCTGTGGGTACTTCTAGGAGCCCCAGGTAACTGTAGTGAGTGCCTTCTAGGTGCCAGGCACTAGGCTAGGTCTTCTACATGGGTATATTTCTAATCCTCCACAACAACCCTCTGGGTAAAAAAACCAGAGCCTTGAGAAGCTAAGTTGCCTTAAATCACCCAGTGGAGAGTGGGATTCAAACAGGTCCATGTGGCCATTTCCACTCAGCTGAGCTGCTTATACTTCTGCCTTCCCTGAAGACAACCTGTTTGTCACCTGTCCTCTACCTACCTTCCCTGCCAGGAGCTCTTGTCATCTAGCTGTTCTTCTGCCTCTGGCAAGGGGTTCTATGTTTGTCCAGGCAATAATGGCACAAGGCTTACTGTGTCCATTTATAACTTCTATTGAAAACTCATTACCAGTAGTTCTGATAAATGGGAAGACACCTGAAGGGCCCTATGTTCAAAATGCCAGTTTATCTAAAATAATCCAGCTCCTTGCTCAGCAACAAAAATTGTGAATTTGACCACAGACATAACACTGGCTCAGAAGCTCCAACTGCAAGTTACTTAGCTGGCCCAGGACAAACAGGAGTCCGTTTGCTCAAGCAGTCCTGCCAGGGACTTCTACTGCCATCTAAGCAGGCTAGAGACACATCCCTTGTTCTGCCTGGGCCCCACCCTGTGCCATTTCCTGTTTTCTGTATGCCTCTCAGCTGCCCATCAGCTTATCCTCCACAAGAATGATTACATATAGTGCTATGAACAGAACAGGTAGCACATGCTACATAAACTCAAAGTTCTTTCACGTTCAGACACTGGGAGGTAGAAAGACCAATGACAAAAAGTATTTCCTGTTTTAAAGAAAAGAGGCATTTTTGTGTTCTACTTCTGTAAGTTAGTGATCTGAAAATTGATGCATCATGAATAATAGCTCAACAACTTGTAGCAGAACTTCCTTACAAGTCCAGAAACCCAACTCCTGGGGCAGAACTTGGTTGAAGCTGGGAAGGGATGGAAACTGTGCAGTGCAATAAAGCTGCGGCCACATGCAAGAGGTCCCTGGAGATGTCTCCTGGGATAAAAACTTCTGCCTAAACCAGCTTTCAAGGAGCAAACACCATTTTCCCCCTGAGCTGCGAAGGAAGCTAGCAGGTATTTGCCTCAGAACAGCGTGGGAGAAGGGAGTGAAGGCATAGAAGCACAGCAGTTTGTGCAGACTGAAGATGGAACAAATGCGGCCTGGCTGGGACTTAGGTGTGACTTGGGGAGTGGAGGAGGTGGGAGAGTTTGGACTTGACCTTCAAGGGATAGAGATCCAGGACGGTGTTCTTAGCAAGTGGATAACATGACATTTGGTTTTGGAAACAGTACCCAGCAGCAGCACGGAGGAGGGACAGAAGACCTGCAGTGGCCTCTGTGAGAGAGAGTTCGGAGGGCAAGGGGAGGAGACGTAGAGAAAATGCCCACAGGCTCTCGCTAGTGAGTGGACGGAGTGGAAGGGATGAGCCCAGGGTGCTGCGAGGTTTCTGCTCTGGGTGAGAGATGGTGCCACCCACAGACAGGCACTAGGCACAGAAGAGCAGGTTGAGAAGTTAATGGGTACACTTCCGAAGTGCTTGGAGGCCACCCAGACTGATGTTGGGGCATGCCTGCTCACTGCCCTCCAAAATCTGTATTTTTCTAAAGTAAAAGAACACCAATAGTTTCAGCCCATAGCTTTGGAGTAAAAACCAATTTTCCCAGTCTCTACTGCAGTTAGGTTTGGTCGTATATCTAAATTCTGGACATTGGAGGTAAGAAGAAGTGGAAGAACCCCTATGAAATGTCCTTAAATAGAGGGCTTATGCTCTTCCTCCTTTTCTTCCATCTTGCTAGCTGGAATGCAGATGTGATGGCTGGAGCTGGAGCAACCATGTTGAAGCATGTTAGTTTAAGCCATATGTTAAAGATGACAGAGCCATAACATAGAAGATTCTGGAGAGAGGTTCATGGAAGGTGCCCTGGGCTGCCTGTATTTGTACTTCTATCATGGTCAGGCTGATATGACTTAGGATTTGTCTTTCATGGCCAAAGCAAATTCAACCAATGCAGATGTGTAGCAGAGTCTGAGGTTTAGGGCAGACTTAGTAATCATCAATATAAACAAAGGCCTCCAGATGAGTAATTAGGCTTATCCTTGCTCTCTTGGAAGTAGTACAAACACAGATGCCCTTCTGTGTCCTCACAGCCCACGGCAGGTAAGGGACACTTCCATTTCCTCTGCATCCTTTGCCAAATTCTGAGTGTTCCCAGGGGCCAGGGCACTTTACAGACTGAGTGGGACTTGAGGCTGCATTTCTAAGACAGTAATTATAAACAGGGAAAATCACACATTACCCTGGAACTTCCTCGGTAGAGACGGCAAAGCTGATCAAATGCTTGGATTTGCTGTGGATCCAGTACAGGCTCTGAGGTTGCCTGAGAAAGAAAAAAACAGTAAGGTTAGTAACACTCCTGGGCAACCTCTGTACTTGGCCATGGGTGAAACAAGCTGTGGTGCTTCCTTCATTCCTCTGGAGAAAATCCATACTCCCAGCAATTAGTGAGAGAGATTTTACCAAACGGTGATTAGAAATGGGGACATCCCTCTGAAGTGCCTCAGTGCCGGCCCCCCGCTGGCCTCTTCATGGCCTCCCCCCACTCCCGGCCAGTCTCTCGGTCCCCCACTCCCATGAGCTCCCTTAGGGCTTCTTGGGCTCGCTTCTTCTTTACTATGCAGAGCAGTTCAGCTCCATCCAGCCTTGCATTCCCACATCTGTCACTGAATACGGCCAGCAAAGATGCCCCTTCTCTGTAGCAGTAGCAGGTGATGCATTTTATGTGAAAAATCATGTCATTTCCATGTTTCGTGATAAAGCCGGCAGCCACCTGTGAGTCTGCATGGTTAATCTGCTTGTTGGAAGATGTGGAGTCTACCTTATTTTTCTACAGCAGTCTCTGTTCTACCTCTTCATGTGCTGGATGTGCCAGTACTGATCTGATACAACTCATACCTGGAGGGAAGAAATGGGATCTTGGGTAGCACAGCTATCAGCCTGTGAGTCAGAAGAAAATGGAAAGCCAGTTCTGACGCTAACCTGCTATGTGACCTCAGGGCACCTCCTTGGAGCCTCAGCTGCCTGCCCTGTGAGAGGGGACAGTGCTTCTCTTAGGCAGTTAAAGTAGATGATATACATATTTAAAATGTCTTTAACTTGCCTGGCACTCTCCAAGGGCTCAGTATATGCTAGCTTTGTTACTACAGTTTAGGGATACCCTTAATTAAGTGTTGATTTCAAAAGTGTTTTAATGTTTAACTCTAGTAAAAACATGTCTTTCTTTGCTCTGTATTATAAACCCTCCTGGCAATGAATAAAAAGGATACTAAATACACATGAATGTACCTGAAGAGAAGGGCTTCAGCGCTGAAGGGTCTGGGTGTCGACATTGGCACCACTCTGAGAAAGGCACTGTTGTGTCCTTTTCCCTAAGAAGGGTTTGAACTTTTAAAAAAACCTGTATGAGGTTTTATAAATTTAATTTGTCTTCAGGAAGGACTCTGCTGATTTTACTGAAAATGTGCACTATGCTTAGGGGGTATCCTACCAAGAGCTAAGAGAAAATGGGAACAAGCACCACCCTGGAATCAAATCATGCCAGCCTTGTATGGAGCCACTGCCCAGCTTCCTCTCCTAACTAGATGAAAAGGCTCCGCACTGAGACCCAGAAAGCAGCTGCATCTGAGGAGGCTCACACCTCACAGGGTTCTGGAATCCCATGGTGGTGCCCCAAAGGTGGCATCAAGGTGCTGGGGACCAGCCCAGGGCACAGCTGACTCAGTTCCTGATGCTCTCAGCAGTGGGGTGGGGTGGGGTGGGCGGGAGGCTGAGGGTGAGAACCACTCACTGGAAATCCTGAGGAGGGCAGGGTGCCCCGACACAGCAGCCAGCCAGTGAAGACAAGTGGCCCCCCAGAGGCTCTGCTTTTCATTCTGTTAGACTCATGTCTCTGGGTCTGCCGGACACATGGTGAGAGCATTCTCTAATCTGAGAATGTTTAAAGTTGCCTTGACACTTAAAAATTGTTTTTCTCAGTATAATAAGGTAGGAAAAATGATCATACTTTTTGGAGAGAAAATGGATGGAGTATCACTTTGTTAGAAACTAAGTAAAATACACAAGGGAGATCCAAGCTAAAGGTGATCTGAATGTCTGAGAAATACTGGTTCAAGCAAAGCAAAAAGACAAAAATATAATTATGAATTCTCTTGGCATGAATATAAAGGATACTAAATACACAGCGAATTCATCTGAGGAGAAGGGATGATTCTCAGATAGCTGAGAAACCTAACAATGGAGCAACATGGCCCTGCCACCGGTTTCCTGAATCCCTTTAGTTCCACTGGCATAAACCAGGAGCAGGTGGGTTGAAAACAAGAACCCCACATGCCTCTCACTGGCCATTCAACTCCTCAGCTGTGGGGCTTGGCCACCCTCACAGCCCGTATGACAAGGGACCAGCCACCCTGCTCTCACCTTGGCTTGTTTCCTAACGACAGTCTGAAAGGAAACAAGTCAGGAGTGTAACTCATGAGGCCCTGGAAAAGGGGGTGTAGGGGGAACAATACAGGTCAATTAAGAAGGTTATAAAGGCCAAGCTAGCAAATGATAAAGCACCAAGAACAAGAAAAGCTCTCTCCTTACAGAGATACTTTTATAAACCAGCCCTTTGCCTTGAAGGGATGTGGTAAGAAGAAAATCTTATCAACTGTACTACTGCACCTGTTATGAAAATGCAGATGGTAGGGCCACTTAGGATGACCCACTGAAGAGATTCTCATCAGACCGTGCACTGGGAAGAGCTGTGATGGACACTGTTGACTTGTTACTAATTGTGTTTTCTCTTGCTTTTATCACTAGGCAACTCAAGGCTAAATGGTCAGCTACACAGAACTAGCAACTGCTTAGGTCCTGATGGCGAACACTTATGAGCACTATTATAACCTGGTTTTATATTGTTTACCATAGAGTTTTTTAAAAATCTGGATTTCCTGACTTATTTATTTCAGTCTATTGGCTGTGCTTTGGAAGCCAACTCAAATCATTTTGGGAAAGTGAAGATCATGTCAGATCATAAGTAGAAAATGCTACTGTTAAAAATAGATCCATGCTTTCACCCCTCCACCCCTCACCCCCAGAAGTACTATGTGGCAAATGGGTCTATTCTAGGCACAGAATAAATGGCTCTAGCCCCTGGGAGTTTGCTGCTCACTGAGGCAATAAGTCTCAAATGATGGTCCAACCCATTTTCTGATCTAGTACTTCCTAAACTTTACTGTTCATAAGAATCACTGAGAGAGCCTGCTGAAGTGCAGCTTTTGGCTAACAGGTCCGGGGTGGGGTCTGTGAGTCTGCGCTTTTGACGTGTTCCCAGGTGAAGCCAAGAATGCTGGTCCTCAGCCTGTACTAGGAGCAGCAAGGTGCTGGTCTGTACTGCTGGGACAGCTCAGGCGGCTGCGGACTTCCTTTCCTCACTGAGTCATGGGTATCTTGCCTCCTTCTGACTCAACTGTACCAAATCAGCTGATCAATAAGCATTTCTTTTTCTCCTAAGGTACCCCAACTAGGTATGTTTTTTTCAACACTTAGTGAGTTGACATGCATATGAGCAACCCTTGGGTAAAAAAAAGAAAATTTAATAGGTAAGAATGCTCCTGCCACATAATTCATTTGGAATCTTATTGAATTGTAAATCCTATACCTATTTTACTAAATAAGTGAGCAGGATTGTGTTAGGGAAGATAGACAAGGCAAGGAGACTTGCCCAATATGAATAAAAAATTCACAACCAATTAAAGGGCATAACCAGGGCCTCTGCCTTATAAACCCTAGACCCCCTCTGTTGGGAGAAAACCTGGAGTCACAAGTAGGTAAGCATGCACATGCACGCATGCACATGCACACATATGCTGACCCATAATTTAAAACAGGACATGCCAGATACATGTGTAGAGGTGGCTTGTCATCTTACTCCTCCTCTAGGCCCTTAAACTCCTTGGAGACACTCCCAACAACATCATTCAGAAATGGGAAAATGTGGTTGTTCCATGGGTGTGAAGTAACCAGAGGGGACAGTCCTTTCTTATAGTACAAGCCATCATCCTGGACAGCCAGACACCAAATTACGGAGCAGCTGCTGGGGCTGCCCTGAGGCCCTCTGGACGTTCGGTCACTGCAGGGCAGTGATGCCCTTTCCTGGCCTGGTCACACTGCTTTTGTGGTAAAGTGTCTGAAGACAAGTCATTGATGAAATGAGAGCTGGTTGTAGACATGCCTAGGACCAAGTAGATGCTCACCTGTCTTAAAATCCTTTCTGGAATAAGCCAAGGGTATTTTTAAAAAGGAAGCATACAGGGAATGACTGTAGTCACTAAGGCGAAGATTTCTGTATTCTTCTCCATGGTTCTGTGGGCACAGGAAGTACGGTAGGATGAGATGGGGGGAACAGAGCCCCTGGTAAGGCAGCTTGTCCACAGAAGACATTTATGCCCTACTATGTAGGCTCCTGTCCTACCAACTCCAGGCCTCATGAACTGGGATCCAGTTTTGTGGTTCAACAAGAAATTTTCAGAACCCCTACATATCAGGCCTGTGGTACAAAGATCAAAGTGTCAAGAGTTTAATGCCTCGCAGATTCTGAGATATTAAAATCCCACAAAAGATTTCACCTTCTCCAGTGTTGATGAGCAAAGCTTGACTGGTTTACCGAAGTATAATAACCATATGTTGCCCATTTGCCAGGGCAGGCTGTGTTCGAAGCATGCTCTCACATTACCTACATAAACAACTATGATGTCCCTGAAATTACATTTTGGGTCTGGCCTGCACTCCGGTGCAGTCTCAGCTCTGACACCCTCTCCAGAGTGCCTGCTCTGAGTGCCCCAGTCCTTTCAGCAGACCCGCTTCCACAAGACCCTACATAACCACATTGCTGCTCTCACTGTCCTGTCATTATCTGTTTATCTGTCTCCCCCATTTATTACAAACTGTCCACTTTAGGTCTGAGAGCAGGCAGCAGCCTGCTCCCCTGGCCCAGTGAGTAGTCACTGGCATCTGTCTTCTTATTTCTAAGAAGCTGTACTTTTAAAGATCCTTTGTGATTTCTGGCATGTTTGTCCTGTATCTCAGTGAAAATATCTATTTCATTTTACTTAATTGACTTTTGGGAAAAAGATTATTTTTAAAATATCAGAAAACACAAGCACCAACACTTTTAGGAAGGTAGGAAAATTTACCAAGCGTGCGGGATTTATGGCAAAAAGCCTCTTTTTGCTGTTGCCCTGGCCCCTTGTTGTGCACAGCCCTCCATTCAGTGCAACAGAGGCCTTCTGAGGGGGCAGGGCCTGCTCCCCAGGTGCCCATGACACTGCAGCAGCCGGT